GGGATCAACGCCGTACATTAGGAGCAACGGCACTCTTCCAGGGTGCAACGCTGTACATTAAGAAAACGCCGCTCTATCAGGGAGCAACGCCATATATTAGAAGAACGCCGCTCTGCCAGGGAGCAACGCCGTATATTAGAAGAACGCCGCTTTGCCAGGAAACAGGAAAATTCCACAGAATGAAGATGAAGAATTCAAAGCGAAATCAAAAGACTAGTAAGAAGATAAAATATATATTAACAGGTGGTATAAATATATATGAAGCAAATAGGTAAAGTATAATTCATATCTTTAATAGTTTAAATTTAACAGTTAGATTAGGAGTCGTAAAGATTAAAATATAGGAGACTTCAAAATAAATAGTAATGAATTAATCACATAAAATATATTTTAAAAGGGATATTTTATTTGATTTTATTATGTGTAGACAATTATTTAATTTACGCTTATGTGCATTTAACAAAAATATGTTTTGTTTTAGCAATATATGTTGTTTTTTTGATGGCCAGGAAATAAATAATAGTATTGTTTCTATAATAAAACATACCAGCTTTTATTAATAATTCATTTCGAAAACAAAAATGGTGAAAAGTACAAATTTATAAAATCTTAGTGGGTTTATACTGTATAACACAATAATCTTGAAATTTGATAATATAAAATAAGAACTGCATAAATTTGTTAGTCTCAAATAATTAGAAAATGCTACCTACTGATAAAATATATTCTAATTACAATGTTTTGTAATTTAATACTCATGGTAAATATAAATAATTGCGAGATGAATATTTAAAAATAAATAATGTTTTCTAGTTTATTAATAACAAATAATTTTGGTATATTTGCCAGAGTCACCATCAGTACCGTTTCCAGGACTATCACGAAGTCCAAATCGCGATAGTTACCCAAATGCAGGACCATATCAAGGCATCCCACAATTCCACGTTCATGTCAGAGAATGGGCCGAATTCCAGGACTCCTGAATCCAAGTCTACAAAGAGATTGCTACATCCAAATTCAAAAGCAAGGGCCAACCAGTACCACCAAGCTCTCAGAGAGCATGAGTCATACCGCCAAGGGAGCTTGATATGAAGTTGGGTCCATTTTGAGCCAAATCCACAACATTAAGAAGATTAATCAAAATGAAGAAACAAAGGACCGAAGATAACTTACATGGAATGAACTAAGATTCAAAGGAAGAGGCCATTCCCAGTAATCAGTTATTGGGGACCTACCAGTATTAGCCAAGTACAGCAGCCATGTACAATAGCAGTCTCACCGTAGCAAGTGAGAGAAGCAGTCCAAAACAATAGTCAACCAGAGGGTACAAAGCCAGATTCTATTGGAAAATAAATAGACTACCGTAGTAGAAAGAACCCGTAACCCCAGCCAAAAGGGTCACCAGGTTCTGCAGCCCAAGGACCATACCAGATCGAGAAGGGACCATGCCAGGAAGGTCAAGTATCAGCGAATGATGTGAGGTGACAGCCAGAGAGCAAAGGGTAGCTACGGCCAACCCACCCAAAAAATACACAACTTGTACAGGGAAGCAAGCGTAAGGTTATCATATATATTGTAGATAATTTTATACTTTTATAAATTATTTACATTAAGGGTTTTAAAAAGAATTGAAAAAATAAAATTTTTTTCTGTTGGGAAAATATTGTAATAATTGGCATTATTATTGGAAAATATAAAGAATATACTAAAAATTTGAAAAAAGTATTTATAATGTTTTAAATTAAAAATTCAAAAGAAAATACACGTATGGAAATAAAACAAATAATCATAGAATTACTCTAGTCATTGATTTACATTGAACTAGAGATTTCAAGGTAGAGCGTGACAATTTTAAAAATAAAACTACACGTAAATTTTGGGTTTATATACAAAGACGAGACAGAAAGAAATGACTCTCTCGAGTAAGGACTGCGGTTCAAAACTCTTGTTTCGGGCTATGTCCCGAAACAAAGTAATGTGTAGAGTAAAGTTTTTGTGCAGCGATTTGTTAATTATGGGTAAATATATTTAACTTATTTTTAAAGTGTTTTGTTTGATAATAATTAATTAATTTACATATAAATGCCAATTTTACATTTTCGTCCCGATTATCATATTTATCTTATAGATATTTTTATATTATTATGTAGTTAAAGTTTTCCAGTGCTATTTATAATTGTTAATAAGTTCAAACTGTTTAGTTCAATTAAGTGTTCATCTAGTGTCATAAATCTTTATTCAAAGTTTGGATATATTATCAAATAGTGCTTTATTCCCTAATTACAATTTGAGTTATTTATTCTTTAGAATACTAGTCACTTTTGTACTTATTTTAAATATACATTTGTTAATTTTTTAATACTTAATATTAATCTCTTCTCCCCCCTTTGAAAACCAGGAAAATATTCCGAGCATTTGAGAAACCTCAGCGTTTCTATTCGGACTAAAACCGCTCGACTATGCTATTAAGGGATAATTTTTTGTTTTTTTAATTTAATTTTTTTATTATTTTATTTGCCACTGGGGAATTGATGTTCTTTCTGGTCTCCAGGACCCTTTGGCTGGTGACAGTGCTGCCTTAATCCCTTAATAGTATATTAATAACACTAGTTAAACACCTATCAGTAGTTACAAATTGTCTCTAGGTTAGTTGGTTGTTACATTTAGTGACAAGTGGTGGTCTTTAGGCTTCCCGGTTGTTACAAACTTAATTAATTTTAGGTTTAAATAAAATGAACCTCAAAGATATGCATGGAGTATCCCAAAGAAAGGTTTTAAAATTCTTATAGAAAAATATTCAGAGCCAAAAACAGTCCTTAACTGTAACGCCACTGGTAATTTTAATTTTTGTAAAAACTTATCTTTTTGTTTTCCTACTTTATAGTTATCGTGTTAAACCAAATCAATATTATTTCGAATACACATTCACACTATTTCTATTTTTGCTATATTCACATATATGTTCTCACATTGAAACAAACGTTTATTAGCTTATTAAAAATAATGAATTAAATTTTTTTATTATATGCTTGCATGGATGATTACTTTTGTTTTGTTTTGAAACTGAATTTCAAACACAAAGCCGAAAAGGTGAGTGAGAATAAAAAATTAGCCGAAAATGACGATATTTACTGTACCTTTCATCTACTCTCTCCTTTTTGTAATAATTGGTATTATTATTATTAGTTGCAAATATAAAGAATTTACCAAAAATTCTAAATAAGTATTTTAATATTTTAAATTAAAAAGGAAGACATGAAAATGAAACAAACAATGAGGTTATTAATCTAGTCAATGGCTACATTGGGCGTGACATTTTTAGACATTACAACCATCACGTACATTTTGGTTTATATAGAGAGGAGACAGAAAGAAAGGCTCTCTCGGGAGTGCACTCTCAATCGAGTTCGGACTAAGGTCCAGACCTTTCGCCAAGGGCGGGAGCTCTCGTTTAAGTCCCAAAACAATGTGATGTGTAGAGTAAAGTTTTGTGTACGATTTGAAAATTATGGGTAAATATTTTTAACTTAATTTTAAAGTGTTTTGTTTAATAATATAATTGCTTGATTTACATATAAATGCCAATTTTACATTTTCGTCCCGAATTATCAAATTTATCTAATGCATATTTTTATATTATTATGTAGTTAAAGTGCTTTATTCCCTAAATTAAATTTTATTCATTTTTTTCTTAAGACTATTAGTCAAATTTTATACTTATTGTTAATATACATTTGTTGAATAATTTTAATTCTTTTAATTTAATTTTTTTATTATTTTTTATTTACCACTGGTGAATGGATGTTCCTTCGGGACTCCAAGATCCTTTAACAGGGACTATACCACTACTTTGCATTATCAGCTTTATTTGTTATCCCGAGCAATTTAAATGCATTCATAATTGCTCATTCTCACTTCTTCTCTTGTAGATTTCGTACCCATTTTTCTTATTTTTAGTTAAGTTTGCACTGATCTTTTACTTTTTCTTTTCCAGAGCTTTAATTTTAAAATACTGTAATGCTACAATATGGATCCATTTTTATGGTTTATACTATTTAATTTTTAATCGCAAGTGATCAACATATTTCAATATTGTTCCTTTTATATTAATTAAGGATTATTGAATTAAAGGCCTAAGATGTCCCTGTGAGGCCGAAACTAGTCGCTCCTATATTTATTTATAATAAAATTTATGTACTGATTTTGAGGTTTTATTCTTCAGTGATTTTGTTTTATTTCCTTTTAGTTTTTTACAGTTAAAAAGTTTGGACAATGTGTGTTCTTACAGAGAAGTGATACGCCACTGAACAAGAGAGGTTGTTTACCTTCCCCCTTGTTTCCGCTTCCTCACTTCATCTACAGATGTTGCGAACACAACAATCGCCTACTACTCGTTTCACGGTCCCTTTAGTAGTAATTGATTGGAGGATGCAGACCATAAATGAAAAGAAGATCCATTTTGTATTAAAATACCTACGGCAGTGGCTCGTGGCTCACGGTTCGTAGACTCTAGGGTGGCCTCGTCCCCATTGCTAAGGACGAAGTGACGTCGCAGAATAAAAAGGCGAGTTGACAGAAAATAGAAAATATTCTACTTAGGTTCGTCGATTAGTTTTATTTAAATCTAATAGTTTATTGTTATTAATGGAGTTTAATTTTTTGAAAGACAAGCTACAAAAAGCAAGGAAAAAGTCATGTAATGATTCCTATAAAATTTCAAATGAATTACTTTTTATTTGAATTATAAAAACCTTATGAAACGCCTCTATATTGGACGGTGAATATCTCTGTTGGTGTATTACATTTTTATAAATCACCGTTTATGTCGGTAAATACAACAATTGGCCATTAATTATTACAGTACACTCAATTTTGCCATTTTTGGACATATATGGTTTTTGAAGGAAATTTGTTGATTTCATTTTCAATAGATATGAAAAAATATGTTACCTACTTATAGGTATTTGTAATGTGGTGTCTTATTTTAGAAATTAACTTACTTGAGACTTTTTTGCCGTTCTTCTTCCATTGAATAACAGGTGTAGGATCGCCTTGAGCTGCACAGTAAAAGGCTGCAATACCACCAGCTTTGACTTGTAGATTTCTGGGCTTAACTTTAATTTCTGGCGGATCTGGAACAAAAATTACGTTTGTTAGTTCGGAAATAAAATATTCTCGCAGTTTCATTTTAAATAGTGAAAAAGATATGTCTTCAAAAATTAGTCTATTACGCATATGTCGATCTTCGGCCATTAAATCATGGACACGTAATTACTGTTTTCATCTGTACCTAGTCTCCGTAATTAGCATGAGTGTTATTATTATACAAGCTGAATTCTGAGTTGATACTTGTTTAGCTGTGAATTGAAGTTGTTAAAATTAATATCTTTTTTAAATAACTTTTTTCAAAAAAACTTACAAATAACAAAAGATACAGAATTAGAAAATCTAAATCCTTGTCGGGACTTGTGTATGAACAGTTAAGCTAAATAATATTTTTATCTCTTTTATCTTTTATTGTGTTTCTTATATACCAAGCTTCATCTGTACCGATTATTGTAATTTTGTGATGTGTGATTTAAAATTGTTTGGTGTGGTAAATTGTGACAACAACTAAATTGTGGCTAAGTTGCTTCTTTATGGAAAGTGTCTTTAAAGTGCTGCTGCTGTGCCGGTGTTATACAGTGAACGCGTTATCATACAAACCTATCCCAGTACCAGAACTTCCATCTGGCTGAACGGGTTAAGGATACGAGTGATTTGCGGGAACATCATAAATGATATGTAGGAAGACCGAAAAGACAATTGAGGGGCCTAGAATAAAAGGGGTATAAGTGCACTTTTAATTATTTTGAGATATTTGCAATTAAAGTTAAACAACATTTGAAAATTCCTAAAAAGAGTTAGGATATTTATTTAAAATTTATTATTTCCTTAATACATAATAAATTTTAACATTATAACAAGATAAATAAAAACTTTTTCAGAAATGTGCTAAAACTTAAAAAAGTACTTATACCCTTTTAATACCAACTTTTTTATTTCCAAAATTTACAAAAAAAAAATTTAGTACACAAATAGGCATATTTATTTTAAAGAAATACAAAAACTTAAATATTACTACTATTCGTCATCGGAGTACAAAATAAAGTCATCTTGTGGTTCTACTTCAGCTATGGCTACTTCGTCAGTTTGGTTTTTGTTCCTGTTAGCTTTGGTTTTATTGTTTCCACTTTTCTCTTTTTTCTCGTGTTGCATACTGTTATAATATTCATGATATTTTGGAGGAACGTATTCCAAAAGAGTCTGCAAATTTTTCCACTTCAGCTCGTTTATTTTTAAACTATCTCTGTTTAACTGATCAAACGTGTCCTTTAATGTCAACTTCGGTCTTCCTGCTGCTTTACCAGGACATAAGCATTTGTTGAAAGGAAATTCTGGGTCCAGAGTAGTTTTATAAAAAAAGCAGAATCTCTCTGATTCCTTTGTAAAAAAGAAATATTGAATTTCTTTCCATTTAATAGCACGTTTTTCTGTATCTTTTTTTGGGTCGCTTATAATATTATTCAAGTTAGAAAAGCTGAAAAAATTTTCTTTGGACATTTCATGAACCGTAAATTTTTTGCATGAACTCTTTATTAGTTGTCTCCAATGTTCTGAAACAAACACCTGAGGATTCTTTCGTTTTACCTTTTCTATAATACCAAAATCTTGATCACACTCCATAAACGTATGGCCTGGTTCCAAAAACTTATGGTGAATTTCTTGAATTCTTGTAGCTTTGACCAAGTACATGAAAAGTTTAGCAATATTTTTGTTTTATTTTGTCCTCCACAGGAATCGCTATAAGCAATAATCTTTGTGACATTTTGAGGAACTGCATTAGTTATATAATGAATCAGACAGGATCCAATTTCCTGTGAGCCTCGGGAAGCGATGGTTTCGTCCCAAACGTACATGTCGGACTTTCCTGTCATGAGGTTATGTATACAGAAGTTATATGTTAACAGTTGTCTCAAGTAAAAAACTTTTGAGGTGGTTATATGTGGAGTTGGTAAAGCTTGTTGCAGATCAAAACAAATAACAAAAGTATCTGTTGATTCTTTATTTACATTTGAGACATTTTGTTTTGATTCTCGTGCCTTTTCAGCCTTTCTGTGATGAACTGTCTGCGATACCTTTGCAGTATTAACTTTTTCTGCATTATCAGAATTTTTAATAATATTATTAAAACCATCACACTTACTGCAAGTATCAGAATTTGGACGGTGGAATCTTAATTTAAATTCCGTGTAAAACATATGCCGGTAATAGGAATGTTTAACAGGATCTAAATTTTTTTCCGTACAGTGTTCAATATACAAATCGTACATTTTTCTAATATTAAGCTCTGGTGATAAATATCGAGTAAAAAAGTTTACACTTCTAGAGTAATGACTCCTATATTTTGGAAACATTTTAATGTGTTCAATAACCACTTTTCGTTTTTCTGACTCTATTTTTCTACCAGGACCTTGACCCCTGTTATCTTTTTCACAAATACCAACAGCGTTACTTTTTTGACAAACAGTAGTAAACCTTTTGTTACTAATATTAAAGGTTTTAAGAAAAAACATTTTGCAGACCCGCTTATTTATGAGAAAAATTTCAGTACTGAAACTATTGCCAATATCTTCCACTTTTATTCTTTGAACAGGTTTTTTTTTTTAATACAGGAAGATAGAAATGAGTTTTGCAAATCGTAAGATGATAGAGCATAAAATTTCTGAAAAAGAGTCTATCAGCTTCCAGTACATTTAAATTGCAGTTAAATCGACAACTATGTTGATATAGTGCTAGTTGACGTGGTGGATGAGGTATGCTTCTGTGAGATATATATGCCTTGCCAGCATTTCTAAGAGATTTTTTCTGGTTTACTTTCCATTTACTCACATTCCGTTTCCTCTTTCTTGTTGTTGATGGGGTTTTGTGATCCCCCTCCTCATTTTTTGTGGCCTCTGCATCAATTTCGTGTGTTGGCTCATCGTCCGATGATGATGAATCATTTTCGGGGACGTGATCACTTGCCTCATCTGTTTCGTACGGATCAGCAATATATAAAGCTTTCTTACCTTCTGCATCCGAATTATTCATTGCAAAATAATAATGAGAACAACCAATAGAATAAACACTCAAATTACTAAAAAAATCTTTACAATAACACGAACCGAACAAACAAAACACAAATTTTAACAGCGTATCAATACTTTGTACCTTAAACAATCTGATTTTTATTTGGCACAAAATGGGTACAAGTGACACTTATACCCGTTTTGCACACAGCAAACTGTAGGAATTATTTATACAGGGTTGGGCATAATTGGCGGAACACCCGATTTGTGGCTCAATTATGGATTGTATTGAAAATTAACCCAAATAAAGTTTTTTGTATATTTTATGTACTATTTAATGACGCTTGGGGATTTTCATTATCTGTCATATTTATCAAGATATGACGTCATCGGATGAAATTTTAAATGAATCACCCTATATTTATATTTTTTTTCAGATAGATCTTTTCTTTCTGAATCCATCAATATGGGGTTCGGGTGGTCTCTGATTTTCCTTATCATCAGAAAATAATAAAACAAAATGGTAAACGTTCTTTTAAATAATTAATCTTGATAAATATGACAGATAATGAAAATCCCCAAGCGTCATTAAATAGTACATAAAATATACAAAAAACTTTATTTGGGTTAATTTTCAATACAATCCATAATTGAGCCACAAATCGGGTGTTCCGCCAATTATGCCCAACCCTGTATAGTATTTCTACCCGTCAAAAGATGGCAGTCAAAGTCAATATATCACTTGGATTGGTTTTGCACCAAACAAATATCAATTTTAAATTTCTATATATGTAGTTAACTCCAATCCAAGAAAAAGTGCACTTATACCCCTTTTATTCTAGGCCCCTCAATTGTGAATACAATATTTAAGTTAGACAGGACCATAATGGATGTATTTTGAAATAAAGTAATGTAAGTTTTTTATTTTTGAGATTTTTTAAAAAAAGTTGTTTATTTTAATGTCTCCTATACACAATAAAAAAATAACAACTTAGAATTCACCCTGTATAATTTTTCGTTATACTAAAGAAGATCGACTAAGGCTTTCCTTTTAAAAAGACAATATTACACAGTAACAGAATTCTATAAAGTGCCATATACTTTTGTGCTTCACATACAGAAGTATTAATTAAATTCTAAAAATGTAACTTTAATATTAAAAATGAAATTATAATAACGGTTATTGCATATCCAAGGCAATTATTATTCATATTTTGTTTGTGTTTTGTTTAGTTGTTCTTATATGATATTACTCTTATAATATGTTTAGGTTTTAATTTATGTTTAGTTTTTAATTTAAGTGCTCGCTTCCTCTATAAAATTTAGGTACATTTTTCATTACAATAAAGAATAAAGCATATCTGCCTCACTAGTCTGTATTTCATTTGTTCTATTTACATCTGACGATCTATTTGGCATTGCGAATAATTTACAGCCTCGCACAATTATTTCATATCAAGTAAATTTCTGCTGTCGAGTTTGTGTCAAAAATGAAAAACGGTTTTCAAATTGGTACTAACTCGTATGCAGCAAAGCGCGTCTCTATTAAAAATGGATTTTTTTTTAGTAGTTGGGCAATTTGGGAAGGCAAAGCCTTAATTGAAGTTCAGTGTTATGAATTATAATGGCTATATATGAGTTTTCCAGTTTTTTTTTTTGAGATCACTTTTAGGATATTTAGTTCTGCATTTCCCATATAGGATCAATCATAATTAGAAGGGGAGTAGAAAGATTTTGAACCGATCTATCAGTCCATCAATATCTAAATGACGCAAAGCTACTATGAAAATAGCAAACAGTAGCTTCTCTATCACACCATTATTTACAACTTTTTTACGGGATGTATCATTATGGGCTATTAGAGGTTGTTTCTTAGAATATTTAGAAGAAGAAATTAGAAAACAAAAACAGATCGATTTCTATTCCAAGGGGATACCTTTCTGTCATATTCTTAACTTCCATATGTCATTTCCCAATAGAAAATTTTAGGATATATGGTTTTAGTAAGATGAAGAAATATTAAAGCTGTTGGGAAATTATCTTTTTGATGAAGAAAAATTGGTGGATCATGAAATT